CGTGTGCCTCACGCAGCCAGACCCCGCGCTGTCCCTCCGCACGGTCACAACCTCAGGAACTCCTGCACGCCGATCACCAAATATGGGGCACGATTGTAGATCTCTTGCATCGCAAATGGTCTATGGACGACGCCTTCCACAAGCTGACGCAGTCCCAGCACCGCCTCCCGCCAGACGGGCCCACCTGAGTCCCAGGCAGCCCAAACGGCCCGCCAGCCGGCCGCAGAAATCCGAGCCGCCACGTAAGCAGATCCAAGTGCGCCCCAGTGAACATGGCCTGCTTCTGTTCCGTGTTGCCGATATCCTGTACCATTACAGGGTTTGCCACTTCGGAGCACGCTTCTCCGCATACTGGTGGCAGTGCGCCGGAGCATTCCTCCTGAGGCTACTGCACGGCATTTTGGAACTGCGCCCACATCGTGCATGGTTGTTTGTGGATGACCTTTTGGCAGCACTGCATCGCAGTGACGCGCACGCGCAGCTGGCCCTTATGGTCATGTTCTTTGCAGCAATTTCTGCCCCGATCTTGTGGAAGAAGGTTCAATTTCAAAATGGCCTCACGTGGTGTGGGTGGCGCATTAATTTCCTGCATGAGACCATCGAACTCACGCCAGAAAAAACCGTAAAATTAAAAGGGCAGCTGCACGAGCTGCTCAAAGCGGGGAAGGTCAAGCGAAAACTTTTGGAACAGGTCCATTTGGGCAACCAGTCTGAGCCCCAAACTCAGATCCTGGCTGGCACCGTTGTATACAGACTTGCACTCACCGCCGGGTTGCATGATCTCTGTCCATGTTTGTGGCCATCCTTCCTTTCAGCATTGGACACCAAAGCCGTGCTCAGGTCAGCAGTGCGCGGCATCTTCATGCCACCAGGCTCTAAAGTTCTCAAGTTCCAAGGGGCATGCATTCGCACGCCAGCTGACCTGCCTCGCGTTGTGCCTAGTCACAAATCCGCCTGGGTGCGCGTCGCGGACGCATCCGCAGAGCACACTCGCCTGTCCAAGATGAGCAAACATGGCGTAGAATGGTTGCTGCAATGCTTCCACTTAGACCTCGCATGCCCGCTGAGAAGCAAGCCAATGCTGGCATGCAAAGCAGTGGGCATAGGGGGTTGGTTCATCACCAGCAGCTCCGTTTCTTGGTTCGCAGAAACTTGGCAATGGAAGTCCAAGAGCAGTGGCCGTGCCTCACCAAAGAAGCCCAGCGCTACATCGCATGCTTCGAAACTGGCTCAACTGGCACTCATGCGTATCGCATGGCCCTGCGAAGGACAAAGCGTGCATGGCATTTGCATGCCCACAGGGACAGATAACACAGCCTCCAAGGCAGGCGTTAATAAACTGTTCACCACAGCATGGCCCTTGCAAGTCTTTGTGCAACTTGTAGCCGCCTGGGCCCATAAACACAAATGGTCCGTGATCGCGTCACACATCCCAGGAGAGCACAACATCTGGGCGGACCAACTCAGCAGAGGTAATACCTCCGCTTTCCAGAGTCGGCCGCATGCCAGAGTGCGCTTCAGGCCGCATGATTTCTGGCCTCACGCATCAGCTCTCACGCTTCACCCTGCGGACGCGCCGTGGAGACCCGAGCACGTGATTGCATCGCAAACGCACTAAAGAGGGGGTGAGGTGATTTGACCGTTTGCTTAGAACCCTAAAGTGGGGGCATTCCGACAGGCTCCGCATGAGATGCAGGAAGATGGAGTGGACGCGCATCGTCACTCCACCTGCATCTCAGAGCCTGCGCTTCTAAGCAACGCTCAAGTAAAAAAGCGCGTGTCGAGTTTGCTTCGGTCGGATGCCTTTTTCCTGTCCCTGTAGGCTTGAAGCAGTGACCAAGATTCTAACGCTAGGGGTTTGTCTTTTCCCCTGTGTTTTAATCTTGGTTGAATCTTCGGCCGCGTGGCTGTTTCTGCTTCAAGCCCTTTAGTAAGGGACACGCCTTGAGGGTCTGACCCCTCTTTCGTTCTTTTTTGAACCCACCCTCCCACCCTTTCACAGCCCAGGTGGAAACCAACTTCCACAAGGCCTGATTGCTGGGTTGCTGAACACACATGGTTGCAAGCTTTCCCTCTTGCAACATTTTGTTGGCTTACTGCATCCCGCAGGACCCGTGTAGCCTGTGCAAAGAGGCCTGATACCTGATTGCTGAACACGCGTTGTCGGCAAGCTTTCCAGCATCAAGCATGTTGTCGGCTTACTGATCCCGCAGGACCAGTTTAAGCCTATGCAGTGAGGACGCATTCCTCGTTGGCCACACCAGTTTGAACCCATGCGGCGCACGCAGTCGCACATCGCTGAATGCCATCGGCATTCTGTCGGACCAGCCTGGTCCCCTGCAGAAGGACGCATTCCTCCCGTGCACACCTACGCACGCATTGCATACCGATGTGCAAAATACCTCCTATTTGTCTCACACCCCATGGGTAAAAAACACCCTGTGTGATGGTCGAACACGCAATGTTGACCACAGGGGGCATTCCGACAGGCTCCGCATGAGATGCAGGAAGATGGAGTGGACGCGCATCGTCACTCCACCTGCATCTCAGAGCCTGCGCTTCTAAGCAACGCTCAAGTAAAAAAGCGCGTGTCGAGTTTGCTTCGGTCGGATGCTTTTTTCCTTGCATGTCCCTGTAGGCTTGAAGCAGTGACCAAGATTCTAACTTGGGAGATTGCGACCGGTTTTTTAGCCGTGAATGCACGGAGCCTGGAGGGCTGTTGAGATCGGAACACAGCGGTGCCATCCACGATCTCAGGTGTAGGGAAATGCTGGTTGCCCAAATGAGGGCATTCAAGTGCACCGCGTGCCCTAGAAGCAGTGCGCTTTCCACCAACCCGGGTAAAAAGGAATGCGCGCTCTTCTCGCTTCGTGGGTTCTCTTTTGTGAGGGTTGTTTTGGTTCAAGATAGGAGCAGTGCAACAGGTCTTAACGGTTCACTTTCTTCTCTTTCACTTAGTAACCTATCTCGTCGGCTGTTGAGACCCACGTTTCCTAGTCGTTGAATTTACAAGTTGGCCTGCTTGAGACACACCATTGGTTCTTGTGTGTTTGTGCATATTGCACGAGTCGCTTCACTAGTCCCTAGCTTGTACTGAGTTGTTCTAAGCTGCCCCATTTGTGTCGAAGAGTTTGCTGTGTTGGTCTTGTTCTTGTTTGTTTGGTTCTGTTTGTTTTGGTGTTTGGCTCTCCACTCTTCACCATAACTTTACCGTTTCAGGCACCAGTGCAAGAACATGAAATTTAGGTTCTGGGGCGTCGCCTCCGCCAAATGGCAGTTTGTGATGAATGGAAAAGGGCGGCTTCGACTTCAGCACAAAATCTCAATGCAATGTTGGTTCCGCAGTCAAGATGGTTTTCATGATTGTATTGAATTCCCAAATTATTTCCGGGCGCAACAACCACTTCCGATTTGTTTTGACAGCTTTGACAAGTTGGCTTGGGGTAGTTGGACCACCGCCCGCAGCCGCCCGTGGGACGAACTCCATTTTTTGGTGTTTTTTTTTGTGTTTGAACTCAATCTTTTCCGCTTTTTTTTGTGGTTGAGGGGGGAGGTGGGGGTGGGGGGGGGGGGATGATTGCGTCACTTCTTTGAGTTTGCTTGACAAAAACTTCTTTATTTCCTGTTTCTGTGGGGTGTGTGGCGTTCTTTGTTAGTGTGATGAGCTGTCTTGTTTTGCTTTAGCTTCTTGTGCCCAAGCCATGGTGTCAGAAGACGTTCGTCTAGCGTTTGCCCTCATCATCTTGCTGCGTTTGGCTGGTGACTGTCTGGCTGCCTTACTTGGACTCTTTTCTGGACGTCGCGTCCCAACCAGCGGACCCCATTTCGTCCTTTGTGTCTGCTGTCATTGTATGCCCACATAGGTTTCCGCTTGACTTTTCGGCTTTAGGCGCCTACGTTCCTTGCTTGTGGTCCACCTGGTGTGCATCCTGGAGTCGTCATCTGCTGCGCCCTTGCTCTGCTTCCATCGGCGTGGTTGGGTCTTGTCTCGTCGCTTGTCTGGCCTACGTCTCATGCCTGCGCAGGACTAAGGACCCCTCACCCCCGTCGGTTTTTGAAAAGAGAGTTCATCATGCGGTTCCCAGGCAACATGCGGTTTTGAACATGCCAGCATGTTGCCTGCAACCGAAAAACCGACAACGAGTTTTGGGGTATTAGCCTTGAGGCGAAGAACAGACTAAGGACCCCTCACCCCCGTCCATGCGATTCCCAAGCAACATGCGGTCTTGGAAAAGAAAATGAGCTTCTGGAAGCAGCGTGCCAGTGTAATTCGGGAACGCAAGAAATTCCCCACTGTCTCGGCCATTTTACACTAAGGACAAAATCCTTGAAACGCGATAGTTGGGGGCTGGAAAAATGAGCTTCTGAAAGCAGCGTGCCAGTGGGATTCGGGAGCGCAAGAAATTCCCCACTGTCTCGGCGCATCTTACATGAGGGAAAGACGGGGCTTTCCTTTCCCCCCTGTAATCGCAGCTTCGACAAGGTGCTCCGAAGCCTAAAAACGCACGATATTACGCGGGCTACTGTGGGCGGTGTACCTAGTTCGTGACATATCCTTGGAAGGTGGCAACGCGTTCTCTTGATGTAATTTGCAATTTTGTATTTTGTGGACACTGATTTCAGTACTTGTTGCAGGTTTTCTCATGACAACCCTAAGTAATGTTTTGAGCTCGCTGGCTCTTGCATTTTACATCATGCAGCTGTACTTCTTACTGCAGTTTTGTGCAACATGCCCAACAAATTTTACTTCGTACCTTACCATTGCGGCAGAACCCTCTTCAAACAATCATGCTTGGCAGAAAAAATAGTTGCGGATGGAATGTTGAGAAACCACCTTTGCCCAGCCAAGCGAAGCTTCAATATCAACACACCGGTTCAGGGTTTGATCAACATGTTTGCCTTGGAAACGTTCCTGAACGCGCTGTCCGTCTAGGCAGCCAGCTCAGATTGAACCCTTGTCGCTCTGGTTGCTTTCCTTGTGCCTCCACTGAGGCGGCGAGATGTCGGAAATGAGTCTGGAGGCCTTGCTTGAGACGCCGTGTTTTTGAGACGTATGTCGGCCCTACCTGTAGTATCACTACAGTTTTTTGATTTCCTGTGCTGCAGTTTGTTGACGTGGAGCACCAACCAAAGAGTTTGAGTTGTTTGGTGAGACAGCATGAAATTGGCCATGCAAGTAGTTTTGGCACGCGTGTTTTGCACAACATCTCGCATCTCCATGACGGAAACCGTGTATGGCGTATGGTTTTGCTGTTGCTACATACTGTTTCCTACAACATTGCTTGTGTCCTCTCAGAGCCTGAGACTCAACTTGAGGGCATCTTGAAGGCTTGCCATGGCACGTCTGCCCCTCCCTACTCTGCTTCTCTGCCGGGTTTGAGGTATCCTTTTGGGAGTGGTGTAAATGGAAATCATCCATGACGTTGCGTTGTTCGATTTGGAAAAGTTTGGCACTGCTTTCTTTTCAACCGATACTTCTTTTTCATCGAGGCAGAGCAGGAGCAGGCAGACGAGGAGCTGGCAGAGGCCCGGCCTTGGTTTGGTGGTTTCCTTTCGGTCTTTGTAAGCCAGCGCGAAAACAGGGGCCCCGGGGCCCTAAGCTTGGGAACGCTATGACCCCTTGTATTTCCCCAAAACCGACGGCGGAAACCGTCACCATCCCCAAAAGAGCCGCTCCTGACGGAGTTCGGCAAACATGAGCTGCGAGATGCATGTAGCAAATCTACTCGGCGGGGTTCATTTGCACGCTGCAACGAGGCCTGCTTCTGCTGGCAAGTCATCTGCCGTGCCACGCTAGGCCGAGGGCGGGGAAGAAGACCTTCTCACGGAGGACGACATGTGGCCCGAGGACTAGGGGTCGATGAAACTTGAGTTCTAGCACTTGCTGGTGGCCACACACACCCACATGTTTCCTGACGTCCACTGCCCAAATGCGGCCCTCGCGGCAGGTTTAGGGACATTGAGTGCTGGCTGCAGCGGCTTTCAGAGTGGAGACCTTTGAAAGGCTTTGGTTTGGGCTGATCTTCCTGAGGTTGATGCAGTGACCCCTTCAAAAGTTGCGCTTTTTGCTGGGCCTTGAAGGATTGAACTTTGCACTTTCTTTTTGTCCGTCGCAGGACAACGTGTTGGACTTGAGCTGCCTCAGCTGCAAGCGGCACCTTTGCCACCGAGGCATGCGCTTGCTCCTCAGCTTCTTGCGAACCTTACATGACCATTTTGGGCTGCAGCGCAAACCTGGCTTCATCGACTGATTGGGAATACTTAATTGGAGTTGACGTTTATACTGTGGCTGATTGCCATGTTGGATCTAATCCGAGACAGAGAGACGCCGAGAGCATGTGGCCACTGAGGTGTCCATCTCGTGTCGAATGCGGAGATCTCGCTCTTTTCCACGGATTTCCGGCCGCACGTGCGCGAGGCTCCGATGCAAACCCTGCGCCGCACACCCTGGTTTTGTACTCTTCCATTGTGGGTTTGTCTCTAAATGAGACACCCCCCATATTTTTCCCAGTAACCAAAATGGCACGCAACAAGAAGACACCCAGCTGTATCCTGACAAAGGAAGAGTGGTTTTCCGTGGTTGACCCTTCAGGGTGCATGGCGGAATGGGGGAATGGTGGAGGCAGAAACTGGTACCTCGTGCTTGCTGTGGTGTTCAATGACCCACAACTTTTGTTGTTTGTGCTCCTTGCGCGCCTTTACGGTCTTTGGGGAGTTCATGTCTGCTTGTGTGGGGTGGCCATATGGGGACTGTTTCCGGTGGCTGCAAAGCCTGCGCGCTCCCGTGGGGGACACCATGTTTAACTTCCTGTGACCATGGTATTTCTTCTTGGAGGGAGTTGGAGTGTTCTGAATTCCCAAGTGACCATGGTCGACGGTTTGCTGGCGGTGCCTGCGCGCTCTGCAATCAAGCCAAGGGGCTTGGCGGTTTTTGGTTACCGTCCACACCGTGGACGGATCGCATCTCCAGGATTTGGTCGTGTCTTGGGCCCAACAGTATTCTGACACCTCCTTTCCTTTGGCCCAGAAGTAATGCAATGCCATTTCCAAAATTTGCCACACCTGGGCCGCTCCCTCTTGCGCTGCGCTCCCCCCCCCGCCCCCAGCCCCCCAAAAAAGGAGGCAAACATAATTTGCATGTCAATTATTTTTGGACATATGAATAGCCGACGACAACAATGGAATGCAATTTCCACTTCTTGTTCTTTCCCCCACCCCTCAAATGGCGAAATGGGAAGTCAGTGGCAATAGTGCCACCATTTCCTTCATTTGTCCTCTCCCACATTTGCTCACTTAAGATACCTCAAAGAAAGAGCATGAAAAATGAGACCAACAATGATGCTGATATTGATCACGCCAATCCCTGCTCAAATGGGTATGATACTTATGATACATGCAAAATTAAGGCCAGACGGTTTGCGTTCGCAGTTGACGGCAAGCCAAAGCCAATGGCAAGCTGAGGGCAGCCTTGCGCATCCAGCCGGGCCGTACAGCAAACCAGTGCCATCCATTCCGTAAGTGACTGAGACAAGCAAACACAGCACTAAGCAAGAACCAAATAGGCCGAGGCCTTCCCGTCACTTAGGCAGCTCCATTGCACTAAACCTACGGGCCACACAACCCCGCCCCCCCTTCTGGGGAAAAAGACAAGCACAACTGTTATTCAAAAGGCAATCCTTCTGTCTTTCCTTTTGGTTGTGACGCGGTTTTCTTGCATCATCGAAAGCTGGATTGACCACGCTTCAATTTTGAACAGGCTCCACAATGTATGCCTTGGGAGGCCCCCGGCGAGCGCGAGCACGGCATGTGCCACTGCCGCGTGCGGGACCTCCCCTGTCTTTCCCGCTGGCAAGCCATTGTACGCAGCACCTTTTGAGCTAAGTCCAAGTGAGTTTTCTTTAGTCGCGGGGTGATGTTTGAAGTCGAATTGGAAGGACTGTGTTGCTGGTACCAAGATGCTGGCCAGTTCTTAGAGCATGGCTGCCAGTGGTTCTGTTCGGATGTATGGTTTTCATCTCCAGCAACCCCTTAGGGTACACTCAAGGATACCCATGTAGACCTGTTCCAGGGATCTGGGTTTCTTTGGGATCTCGTGCCTGGCAGCCTGGCAGCCTGGCAGGACGCGCTTTGCAGCTGTGGCTGTACCGTTGGCTACCACGTGATCTTGCCAGGGCTCTCGAGCTTGGCCTTGGCGTCGCCTTTTTTTTCTTCCTCTTTTTTCTCTTTTCCCCCGTGTCGTCTCTTTTGGATGTTGCATTCTTTTTGAGGAGCGGCAACATGTGTCCAGTTCGACCCCAGGCGAAAGAAACCGAGGCCAGTTCAGGGAGGCGTAAAGGCCTGCAGAAACCGAGCTGTCTCCGGTCGAGCGAGACGGCTGTAACATCAGCTTCGGCGAATTTGAAGCGAGTCCTTTTGGTTTTGGTGATTTTCGATTCATGGAGGCCTGACTGAGAACACCTCTCTGGCACTAGAAGTAGTTAGTTTCACCTTTTTTCACTTTGGCTTTTCCTCCCGACATTTCAGGGTCCAAAGTGTGGTCCAGGGGAAGGAAGGTAAACCTGGCCTTGGTTTTCCCAGGTTCTTGAAATGCACCCCAACAATTCAGCGTGACACAGCTCTCCAGATATGAATTGACATTTTACGTTCTTGCCTTTGACTAACGAGGTAAGATTGAAAGGGGGCTGAACACTGACCAACTTTCAGGCGAGTTTCTCGTCGCGGATCCCTTTTTCGGTTTCTTACGCAGACCCAGTTCCAGTTCGCTCGCGGACTGTGACTCCGAGGCCTTGCAGGTGAGAGCCTCAGAGAGCTTGCGCTGATTGCCGCGTGGGTTGGGTCTGGATTGCTTTTTCTCCGTCCAAAAACCCAGACAAGTCCTTTGAAGAAAGACACCTTGAGTGGGCAAAGTGAGCAATCCTCCTTGGACAATTCATAGCGTTGCACTTCCCAAACCATCCGAACACACCATCGAATTTTCACGCCAAGGCTTTCTTTTATCGGCTTCTCTGGGGAAAATTATATACCAAGCGCTTGGGCCAGGTCAGGTGTTAAGGAAGTGGTCCTGTCTTTTGGTCAGCGACCAGGCGACCGGACTTTCAGCTTTCAGGTAGAGCTAGCACATTTGGATCATGTGTCCTATCACAGACTTTGGTAAGCAACAGGACGCCACCACATTCAGCTCAGGGACTGTGCAGCAGCGAGTGTGAAGCTCAGGCATATGTGAACTGGTCAGAAGGCATTGCAAGAAGGCATTGGGCTGATCAAACCAATGGGGTAGAAGTGAGAATGGGTGGTTTCCTTCTGGCTCCCATGTGACACCATCCAAAGGGGGGCTCCCACCCATTCTTGGACACGCGGCTCCGCGCGCCTTTTCTCTGCCCAAAGTTTGCTGCCAAGTTAGGCCTGAGAGATAGCAAGGTGAAAGCGCCATCCGACCAAACACGACATTTCACATGTCACCAGAGATTTTCCTGCTCGCCGACTTGGATAGCACGCCGAGCAGAGCCATGCTGTCATTCGTGGGCGTCACAGGGTCTCGGCCCAGCAACAGCCTCACGGATTTCTTGCTGACCATTGAGCCGCTCAGTCTCTGAGAGTGGTCATGGGGCTATGCTGACTCATAGGAATACTGCGGAAGAGTCTGCAAAGTGGTTGGCAAAAATAGATCTTCATGGTGTTTACAAAGGGATGCACCAGCTAAACTCACGCCTGTCAGCACTTGTCACAACAAGCGGCCCCATGGAGCCAAATCAGCTCAGTGTGCATGCGACCGACGCACTCGGTTCGATCGCCTCGCTCCGAGGCTGCTTTCCCTTTTCGTCGCCTGGCTTCGAGAGTGGCCAAATGTGAAAGGCCGACATGCGGCCCGGCGACAGATTCTGGTGGCGGGTGGAGTGGTCAAACTCGCCCATAGAGTGGAAGGCATTCTTCTCCTTTCGGCTTGCACTCGGATGGTGCTGCTAAGTTCCGCTTGAGGAACTTTTCGTCTCCTACGCCCTGAACCTCCTTGGGGCGGCGAGCTGGTGTGCTTCAGGCGTGAAGTGCATCGGAGCATTGCGGTTTGGGGGCGGGGGTTCAAATCCACTTAGAGGCCCAAGCGATTAATCCGGCTGTTGGACCCTTGGCCTGTTTCGTGGATCATTGTATTAGTTGGGCAGATGCCACCTTTGCGCCTGTCTCACTTAGACGAGCAAGGGCAATGTGTTTGGTGCAGCAGCTTGTTGGCATTTCTTTCTAAGCATATGGCATTCTGCCGCTGACATGCGCCAGTAGCAAGTACAAGCGCGAAAGCAACACGCCGCGGCTTCATGCAAACACGTAAACATACCACCTGCTCGGTTGCGGCCCTACAAGCCATGCCGGTGTCGACGCGGGTGCGCTCCTCGATGAAGCGCCTCTTGGCTAAGAGAACAGGACCTTGTGGGGTGTGTTTTTTGTTGCGGGCGCCATTTTTGGTTTGCAAAAGAACAACAGCGAAAGGAAACAAATCACATTTGGCCTCCCTCTTTTGAGACGCGCCTGTGCCAAAACATGGATGGAAGAAACAGGACATTCCTGCGCCACATAGCAAAAGCGGATAGTTAGTTTCCAAGCGCAAGCCATTTATCCCAACGACAGCCATTTATCAGATCCCTCGAAAGGCTTCGCGAGTCACGTTGAGGTTTCCTTTGAACAAGTAGCCTTTCACGTGATCCGAGGCCCCAGTGCATCGGAGAGAGCCAGAAGCCTAGCCTAGAGCCCGTTGGCCAGGTGTGAGAGCACTGAGGGCACCCTTCTCGGGAAGTCCAAAGAGTATCCCGGCCAACTGGCAACACGGCCCCTGTTCCAGCAACGGAACGGCCCGGTTTGGAGGGAAATCAGAAGGAAACGACACTCAAGTTTTCAGACAAACCCATATTGGTGCGAAGGACCAAGGGGGGTTCTTCGGTGGATCTCATTCACGTGGGGATTTATGTTCTGTTGCGAGTGTTCCAACATCATAGCCATGTGGGTCATCTTGTTATGTTGGTCCTAAGAGGAACACTCATGACAGTCGTTTAGATGGTGAAGGGCTCTAACCCCCAAGTATATATTGGACATGCAGTCAGTAGAACTTGCGGGGAACGCGGGGAAAGGTCCTGTGAGTGATATTGCCGCAAACCCCGAGATTCAGATCGGCTCGAGGTCCTGCCGCTGGCCGCCGGCCTGGAGGGTCATCTGGCGGCGCAGGGCTCAGAGAAATGCTCTGGGAGCGACATGTTTCTCAAAGTAAAAGGGGCGACATGGTTCTCGATTTTCTCGAGGTTCCCGTGTTCGTGCCCGTTGCACGGAGTCTAACAGTCGCGAGATGCGCAGGTGAGGCTGAAATTGGCTCTTGCTCTTCGGTTTTTGATGGGCAGGGGAACTGAGAGTTTGGTAGGGGGCAGAGACCAAACACATCCGGGCGATCAGCTTCCCGACCCCGATAAACATGTTCCAAGAACAGTGGTTGATTTCCATGGTTCACGGATCCGACCCTTACCGGTAGATTCTCTGGCTGCCCATTCTTTGGGAATCGTTTCTACAAAGTCAGAGCTTTGCACTCCAGATTGGGATGTTCCCGGCCCCTGACAGGGTAAACACCACGATCTGAGTTGCTTTCAGACCCCGGTTTGGGGGAGGGTGGTTCGGGACATGACCCTGAAGTTGACCCGACGAGTCCCACGAGGTGTTCGTTTGCCATCAAGCATCTTCAGCTCTTTTTGGCTTTGGTCGTCCTCGTCCTTGCCGAGTTTTTGTGCCCACCATTTGGGTAAACTTGCAACAGCAACTCCTTCTTGTGTCCCTTGAGTGGACCCCCTCTTTGTCGTTTCAATTGAAAATGAAAAGGAGTCTGCAAGGAAGCCGGCCCTTTGGGTTGGTACCCTCCAAAAACAAGTCTCTAAGGATGGGGACCGTCTCCACAGCAGCATGCTGCTGCAAGCCAAGCTCCCGCGGCACGAATCGCGGAAGGAGGGCAAACTCTCGGGGAGCGGCGGCGTGATGAAGGCCAGGGGTTGAGAATTGGATCTTGAGGCCCCAAGAACGATCGCGGCAATAGGACCTTCCCCACAAATTGGTGCAAGCGAAACTGACTTGCATTCGACCCCAACGATCAATTTATTTGAGGCCATGCGACTGATGCCGCGGATCCTGCTCTTCGCCTTTTGGCAGCAGTGCCCCGGCACTGCACCGGGCCAAAGAACAGGTGCCTGGGGAAACAGGAATCACCATCCAACCACAGACTCGCAAAAAGTGCGCGGCGGTTTTTGCTGGGGTCTGTGAAACTGACCTTTGTGTCCACCTTGCCAGGCCGCGACCCTTTTTTGCCCAAATCAGGAAATCAGGCGGACAGAATCGTGGCGCCTACGTGCTGAATTTGTGTTCTGCACAACAGGAAAGTTTTGCCTTTTGTGGTCACCTAAGAGGGAAGCGAGGGAAGCGAGGGTGCAGTGTGGGGCAAACGAACCTAAGCCAACCTTGAACCCGTACGAACTGTCAACCAGCCCAAACCCAGCCCCAAACCAATTGTTTTGCAGAGCAAAGTACTGCAACATGTATTTTGAGTCGGATTTGCTGAGTTGGTTTCTCCAGGGCTGGGACAGGGATTGAGTGGTTCGGGTATACGACGCATGAGACCAACATAGTAGTCCTTTTTTCCAGATTGTTCGACTGCAAGGCAAAGCAATGTGTAACATGCCCCCAGTTGCTGTTTTCAGCTCCAGGACAACGAGAGATGGTGTATTTTCAAGCTACGCACACCCTCGGAAAAAGTGCTGGGACCTCGCGGCACTTCTGACCCAATTTAGAAGCGGCTGAAGTTGTAGGATCCTACGCATCGCCCCATTCTTGTGGCCAGGGTCTCCACACTTTGGGCTCAACTTGCCCCAAGGTGGTCTTCTTGTTGGGCGGAGTCGAAAAGCACAAAAAGAGACCAACTGCGCTGCATCGCCAGTCATCTGAAACAAGCCCCAGCTCCTTGCGCTCGTTTTTGCTGGTCGGATGAGCCACAATCAAAACTTGAGCAGGTTTTGATAAACGACTCAACTTAAATTGAGGGCCTTCATAGAAAGAGACATTTGTTATTGCCATTTCTGCTCGGGGGTAGGGACAGCATCCACAGGATGGAGACGCCCAATCTGAAGCCTGTTCACTCAGGTTCTATGCGTATTTCTCGGGCGATCCGTTCAATGCCTTTGTCAGCACTAACATCGCATGTCCGCGACCGAAGCCGCCTTGTCCAGTTGGCTCTTACTGGGCCGGAGCCTCAATTGGGCGAGCTCGGCCTCACAATTCATCATCTTTTTTTTGGCAGCTGTGGGTTTCATGGCCGAGCAGTTGCTACTCAAGTGTGACACTGTGATACTTGTTGTTTACATATTCATGTATATGTAGCTTCTGACAGCAATTGCATGCATACGTACACACATACACACAGTTACACACAGACACATACACACATACACACAGACACATACACACATACACACATACACACATACACACATACACAGACAGATAGATAAATAAATAAATACATGCATTCCGACACACACACACACACACAGATACACACATAGATGCACACATAGATACATACGTACGTACATACATACATACATACATACATACATACATACATCCACGACATTACATTACACTACACTACATTACATTACATTGCACTACATTACAGTACATTACATTACGTTACAGTACATTACGTTACATTGCATTACATTACATTCGATTACATACAACATACATGCAATATACGTGCGTCATACATACCTGTACGCACGTGCTACATTCGTACATTCATACATACATATGCGCATGTTGGTGATGCAGGTGATGCGGGTGATGCAAGTGATGCTGGTGCTGCAAGTGAGTGATGGTGGTGATGCAGGTGATTCCGGTGATTGAGGTGATGCAGGTAATGCAGGTGATGCATGTGTTGCGTGGTGCAGGTCATTCGGATGATGCATGCAGTGCTGGCGATGGGTCAAGTGTCAAGGGTGGGCTGCACAGGGAATTTCGGATGGCCCACCAGTTGGGTGGGATGGAAATCGTTGACGGCCACAGCGCGCCAAGTGCGAATCGCAGGTGGGCCCTGCGAACCTTACTTCAGATGCCACGAACCCTGCCAGCTTTAACGACAAGGACGCCCCCATCGCTCCTGAAGGTGGGCCGCAGCGGATTTGCTTGGAAAGGAATTCTTGTGCAGGTGTCTTTTTGTTGTTTTAACCATTCCAGAGGCTCCCTCAATCATGGATGAAGAAGCAACCAAGCCCTTTTGCAGGTTGCAGCAACCGGTGAACTGGTTGCATGCCTTAAAGTTTGGCAATGTTAAACAGTGGACCTTGAGTTTCAGGCGCCTTCTTTATGCATCAGATAAGAGATTGGCGGATTGTAGCAAAAGGTTCCATACTAGCCAGCCCCGAGGTGTTTGCATGCCCGTGGAGAGATTTCATCCTGCTTGGAGTTTGTCGGGTAAGTGCATGGACAAGGACGAGGTGCTCAGCAAGACGACCAGGATCAATGGATTGAATGGCTGGATCGCCGCCTTTTTCTCCCTCTTCGCCGTTTTCATTGCTGGTCAAGTGGTAGATACAGTTGGACGCCGGCCAGTGCTGATTTGCTTCCTCTCGTCCAACATTGTGGTCAAGGTGGCTGAACAAAAATGGACGTTGGGAGAGTTGCCTCGTTTGAGCCTCTTTTCATGGTTTTGAAACCCATTTTGAAAGCGGCACAAAATCAGAACACTTTTCCAGTGCCCGTTTTTGACTTGTTTATGGCCTGGTTTAGGTGTTGCTCTTGGTGTCCTGCTACCTGCCCTACGGGCCTTTCTTTGCGTCTCTGTGGCATTTGAGCGCACGTATGTGGCACGCCCGAACGTGGAAAGTGAGCCCCCCCCCCCGGCCCCTCCGCCCCCAGCTGGCAAGCATAGTACTATCAGGCCTCGTGCCAGCCCGAACAGGCTACCAACTCAGAAACAAGGAACACCTACGTCAGAATCATTTGGACGCCTCAAAGGGGCAGCGTTGAAAGAAAACTAAAGGGAAGACACAGCTGTTCGGAAGGTAAATCAAAGTTTGGCTCCCCTGTAAGCCTGCCCACAACACGTATCGACTCAGAGGGGGGTGCCGCTCAGTTGCCTGACTTTTTGGTTCCGACTTTTGACCTTGCTACAAACATCTTTGGGTCCTTTGGGTATGCGAAACGTGGACCCCCCCCCCAAAAAAAAAAGGGTTGCCTTGTCTTCAAACAACCAAGAATGGGAATTGCGGTATCTCTTCCCAAAGAAGAGGCCTGTGAAACAATCAAACCAGAAGAAAGCAGCCACCCTTAGATTCTTAGATAGTCTTGGGTGGAAGCCTGGCAAATTCCAGTTTTTGACTTGCTTCAAATGAACCGAAACCCAAACCCGGATAATTCGCAAGCTCAAGCAGCAATGGAAGGTAATGTGGATTGGATTGCGGATCGGGAATTGCCTTTGGCTAATCCGGAAGAGTGAAACAAAAGGACACGTGAGACTTTCAGCAATAAATAATGCACACAATTTCTTCCTACCGGGTTCTGGTCGTGACTCATTAAAGGTCTCGTGGGTTGCGAGAAATGATCTTGGGTCGTTATCCAGAAAAACCCAATTGTTTCGTTTGGGTTGGGCGCCTCCAAGAAGCATCAAGATGTTGGTCAGTACCCGGTCGCTTTGTCTTAATTCGGAAGCGACTCGGAGCTTGAGGCAATCCTCGTCCTGCAGAACGTGATCGAGGTGGCCTTTGCTTCGGGGGTGGAGCCGGCGCTGAATTCGATGATCGCGGACCGGTCCCGTGGGAATGAGGACCCACGCCCTCAAAGGAAGCCTTCCAAACATGTTGCACCCCACCATTCTGAGACACAGCCAAATGATTGTATGATATTGTCTTGAAACAGTACACTGGGGACTTCTCAGACAACTTATGCTGGAAAACCTCAATGTTTTGATGCCTCAACCATGTTTTCTTGTCATGCGATCGATTCCATCCTGGAAGGACCTCCGGGGCGACGGCTTTGCGGCCCTGGGCATGGTGATGCACGCGGCGGACCCTTGGAGCGCTTGCGCGGAGAAACGGGGCGTGTCTTTTTTTCTTCCAATCCTGGTTCACCGGGGAGCCCCTTTTGCAAGATCAAGAGGCGAGTAACTGAGAATTTTAGTGCTCCTGGGTTGGCTGCAAAGACTTGACTAGAGTCGGAGCATTCTGAGACCTCCCCCCCTGACTAGCACGCAGTTCAGTTGTTCCAGCTGCGGAACAGTGCCCTATGCAGGCGAGAACAGTAAGACCCACCCCCCAACGAGAACAGAAAGGACTTTGCGCAATATTCTCGAGCTCCTGGCATTTCGTTCGGGGCGAGCTCTGGCTCAGGATGTGCTCGCATTTCTGGCCGGCTATCCGGTGTTGAAGCTGCACCTCGAGAACTACACGGTGTTTTGGGGCCCTTTGATAGTTGCGGCCCGGCTCGTTAAACGAAACAGCACACACACACACAGAAGCCAAAACAGAAGCAACACCAAGACATGCGGAACGGAACAGCCCTGCCGTTGGCCCTTGGCCTTATTGAACTGCACATGCGACAGCTGAGGTTAGTATTGTGGCTTACATTATTTTTAACTGCATCCCCTGCTCCACTCTGCCGGAGACCCTGCACGAGGTGGTGGACATGTCCGAGGCGCCACAAGTCGGCCTAGATGCGAGATTCAGCCAACATATGCTGGGACTGATCAAAATGTCCATCAAAACCAAGGGACTCTGCAATTTTCCCCTGTTCAGAGCAACTGCCGATTCTGACCCCGATCAATGCCGCCATTGGTTCCCCAATGGTGTTTCCATACCATCCCCGTCAAGTGCTTCTTTGGCCTCCTTTGGACCAGGTTTGTCTCAAAGGGCAACCTCCAACATTTGGCTTTGCTGTTGGTCCCCCAGGCCCAACAAGTTGAATCCCCCGAAAATGCACAGCATTCATTTCATTTTCAGGCGGCGGAAGAGGACGAGGAGGAGGAGGACTCGGTGCAGGAGAGCTTCTGTGGAACGGCCGAGCGGTGCTTTCGGGCGCTCTGCTCGGAGACGATCTTGGGCTTCAAGATGGTGCTTTCGGATCCCTACCTGGCGCAGTTCCTGGCTCCTCGCTTGAGGTGGTGCTTTGCTTTCGTGCTTTCGGGGTTTGGTGGATTCTTTGCTCAAGCAATGGTGGGTCCCTCTGATCCTGGGCGGCTTGTGGAGAATAGGGGGGTTTTAGCTCGGCGTTTCTGGTCGCTCTAACCCCAACACTCGGCCTGCCGCGGTTTTGGGGTAGGTGATTTGGGCCCTGATCCTGGTGTCCATGAGTGGCTCCTGGAACCTCGCCACCCAGTACCTGCTCGGCCTGGGCTACGAGCAGGAGGGAGATGGTTGCCGGCCAGGGCCTACTTTTTTTTAAACCTGAAAAGAGGTTCGGTTGAAATGTCCAGATCAATTTGGAAGGGACATGGGGGGACTCCCTCACAAACGGGAGGGCTTCCGAATCTGCGGCTGGTGCGGGTTTGTCTGCAAGTTGCGGTGACCCCCGTATTGGGTTTTCCTCTGCTTTCCCTTTAAACCAGTGGACCTTCGAAAAAGACAGGATTGGTGTCAAATTCCCTTGCTCGGGCTTGGAGGGCAGGTCATGTACCTCCGACTAGATAATTTTACGCTCACTATGACAAAGATTCCCATCAAGGGAATTCCTTTCCGATCACAGAGAGTTTGGCCATGGACGTATGGATGTTTCCAACACAATGGAACCCCACAAACAAGGAAGCAAATCAGCGCCCTCCAGTTTGAGGCTCCAGGATTCACCCGATTCTTGTGTGGTGCCATCCGCTTCCTGCCCTCAGGCGAATGCTTCGCTGGCGAGGCCCGCGTGGCAGCTTTCTCTGGTGCTGGGAGCGGCAATAAGCCCTCACTTCATCAGGATGGGCCTGACGTGAGATTGGGATATATCTTTTCAGGTGGTGAGTTTTGTTCCCCCCCACTTGTCTCAGTCCGCAAAGGTTCCGAACTTGCTTGTTTCCAGTAGGGCATAATTTGTTGTGAGATCAGGGATTGACCCCCCCACCAAGCAACAATTTGTTGGAGAATAGGCTTCAGTGGCTTCATTCCAACGGATGCCCACCACAGTGTCTCCCTTTTTTTTGCAAGACCATCCCCGTGAAGCTGTGCGAAAAAAAAGGATGCAACGGCCTTTGCCATAGGAACTGCTCGGCCACGGGGGCCTTCATCTTGGCGCTGGTGATGATGGCGGTGGGATTCTTCTGGTGCGGCACCGGGGGCCACGACCTGGAGCACGCCGAGCTCTTCTTCTGGGCGCGGAGGGTCGGTCGGGTCGGTCGGGTCGGTCGGGACTCGGAGAACCAAGGCCATGTCCCAAGGACATCCCAGAAATTCGAATGAGTGCGGGTAGAAATGTGCAGCCGTGACCCAAGACTCAAGCTGTTCTTTTCGCAGGGGGGCACCATTGTGCTGGGCGGCGTGGGCTTCGGGATCCTGTCGCCCTGCTTCAGCGCCATCATCAGCGTCAGGGTCTCTGACAAGGACCTCGTCGCACAGCGGCTTCTGCACGGCAGGGGGTTTCCCTTGAACCTGAGGGGCAACTTGAGAGTTGCCACTTCCGTGAGCCAAGGGAGTCCCCCGTGAAGTGATGGTTGGTTTGGGTGGGCCAGTAGAAAGGGTCATGCTCCACAATCAGGAAGGGGGTGTGGGTGCTTTGACCGAAACAATCTTTCGATTGACAAAAGTGGGTTGCCACCAGCACACACTTTGGCTGCCGACCGGGTTGCACGTCTGAGGAGGCTGGGCTTGCGCGCGGATCAATGGTGCGGGGGGTGTTTGCATGAAGACCCGAAGTGGCGGAGGTTGTTGGAAGGGAAACCAACAGGAAACCTACCAGTCGTGGGGGCCCCTTATATTCCATAAAAGACCCACGTCTTCCAAGATGCAAGGAGCAGGGGAAGCTATTCTCCTTTGTCGGGGCCTCAGATGAGTGGAGTTTTTGACTTTTTGGCGGTTGTATTATACTTCAATTTTAAGCGGTTCCTTTTGGGGTAAAGAGGATGTATAAGAACCCTGAGACGATGGAGGAGCCTAGGCCAAATTCTGTTGGCAAGCGTTTGCGAACGAAGCACCAACGGCTGCAGAAAGGTGGTTGCATTCCTTGCGGAGTCCTCGCATGAACTTAGCGGTGGGACGGGTGGCAGCTTAGCGGGTGCATTTGACACGGAAGCTTGCTACTCCCCAGCCCCGCCCCAAATTCGGGTCAGAAGCCAGCAGCTGACGGGAGGGCGTGGAGCTTGTACCCTTAACCCCTTGTTACAATCCGGCAATGGCTGGCCAATGACCCAACATGCTGGGTTCACGCTTCGCGACTGCAGCTTTTGCATGTTGCAAAGTGTGGGCAGAACAGAGCGCGCACATGCAAAGGCCTTTTGTACCCTTAAGATATTTGAGACTCTGTGGCATACCAAAGGTGTGTGTGGGCGCTTGTGTTGAGCCGCATTCCTGGGAGAACCTTGAGTGGCTGCACGCGACCGCAAGATCAGGCAGCTTCATCCACCAGGTAAAACTGCATCCGCACTCCCGCGGAAATGAATCTCTCATCAGTGGTGTTGCAGGCACAAATAGTGTCCACTATTTTGGCTCAAACACAGTTGTGCCGTTACACCGTCTGCACCGGTACACCGTTTGCACCATTTGCCCTAATCACACCGTTGGCACCAGCACACCATTTATACCATTTGCACTGTTCACAGTGTTGACACCATTCGGAGTCTACACCGTTCACACCATTCAAACTCCGCTTGCACCGCCTACGCCGTCTACACCTTTTACGCCGCTTAAGCTTCTTACGCCGTTTCCACCGTTTGCTGCACCGTTTACACTGTTTGCACTGCCTGCGCCGATTACATGTTGTACACTGCCGAACCTGATTACATCGCTTGTGCATTTCACTGCAAGCAGTCTAAACAGAAGAGAGCGCAGGCAGCGTAAAAAGCGTATGCAGCGTCAACAGCGCGCAGCGCAAACAGCGCAGTAGCAGTAGCGCAAGGAGCGCAGGCAGCATAAGGAGTGCAGGCAGCGGAAATAGCGCAGGAAGCGCAAAGCGTGGGGTGAGGCTGGTTGACAGAGTGAACCGTTGTACGAGCCTGTGATACCTAGCTGATTGACGGGGGGCAGCAGAACAGCGTAACAGTGTCACAGTGGAACAGCATAGGAATGTGGCACGGGGCCAGCACCCTGTCAACCCAACATGTTGGATTTGCTGCACCCTTTTCGCACTCGTTCTGGGCGGAGGCCTGGGGCCTGGGGCTGGGCTTGAAGCTCAGGTGATCGTGATGAACATCCTCGCGGGCCTCGGTTTCGGCCAGCTTTGGCCGCAGCTGCCCCTCAGTCCGGACAGTCGGGATCACGGGAGCACGACGGTGCCGATGGACAGAAGCAATCCACAAACTCATGACAGCAAAATTTAACGGGGAAACCCTGAACTGTGGCTGGCCCCTTAAAGTATGATGTCCGCCAAAGGGTCCACAGTTCACAATCAGTGCACACATAACTTGTAGACTTGGTGAGAACTCCCGCTTCGGGTGCGATGTGAAATCCGGGAGTAACCTCGAACCCCAAAATCGCCGGTTGTAGAGCGATGATGGGGGATGGAGTCCAGCTGGAAAAGTACTGAACCAGCGGAGCTTCCCTTCAAAAGGAGGCATTTTAGCCGGACACCAGTGGAAAAGACTCACCAACTTGAAGTTCAGAAGGATGGAAACGGGCAAGAAAGAGGAGGCCAGGAATGGAACAAGGAAGACGCCAGAAGCCTGGGAACCAGAAAGCTGGAGCACCAAAACAAGCCTCGTGAGTCGCACTCTCCCCGCTCCCGCTGTGCTCAGAGGTTTTACGACGCCCATGCGGACGACTGGAGGAAGGGCCTGCCCTGGATCGCTTCGGCCTGCGCCTTTGTGGTGCTGCGCCTCGCTACGAAAATCGGCCAACGGCTTGAAGTAATCTCCATGGTCGAAGGCACCCCTCCAAACAAGCCATCTTACTCACATTCTTTTTAGATGTGTCATATGTCCTATGGTGGTTTCATGAATATTCCATCCTTAGACATCTTTAGTATAGATCTCTACTGATTCTTAGTTAACATATCTTCATTTCCCTTTTGTAGTGTCTTTGCAACTGTAGAATTCATCTTTGTACTACTCATGTTTTTTTTTTTTTTTTTGAATTTATGATTTATCGTTTCAGGACCTGCACAGGCCCCTTTTCCAAAAAAGTACCTATTAGTTTTCAAGAGCTTCCAATTTGGTTGGTGGGATGTTAAGCGCGACTGCGGGCTATCAGAGCCAGAAACCGAGATGGCCCTTTGCCACCTGACTTTGAAAAGGGTCAGGCTGGACCAGCAAGTGTGTCAACGCAAGCCGTAGACCTGGGGATTCCCAAGTTGGAATAGCTGCCGTAGGCTTGGGATTCCTGTGCCATTTGGTTTACTGGGTTGGGGCTGCTTGCCATCCAACAGGAGGAATCCTGAAGGGCAAGCTACGAGCACATACCGGGTTAGTGGTCCACAAGTCAACAAGGCTTCCATATAGGGGTGGGACATGAGTCAATGACAATATCACTACGGTCTATGGTTTGGTAGGACGAGCAGTCGCAACAACTCGGGGGCTGCAATGGACCCGTCATTCGACAGTCAGGTCCTTATGGTGGGAATCAAAGACTGCCCATGGTCAAATAGCGAGTTCTGCAATGCCGCTGAGATGCACCCATCCACAAGCAAACAACAACAACTACAGAAAAGGTTCAGGGATCACAGAAGTAGCAGTTGAACTGCCCTTGATGGCTGGAAGGTTCTGGTATTTCCTAATGACTCATTTGTCATGGGAATGGTTGGCAGCAACCAAGTCGGGGTCCCAGTCGTCTTAAAGCTCAAGGTGCCCCAGAAGCTGAACTCGAGGGCTTCCCACCCCCTTGAATCCTCTTGTTAAGGATTCCGTTGGTTGAATCCACGCTAGTCTCCATACAGTTTTCCACCCGGCTACGGCTGGCCTTGTTGGCTTCAACAAAATAGGAAGCTGGGAGGGGATGTGCTGAATCGGAAACTTCGAAGTTTGGGGACCCCACAAAACGGTCTGCCTCAGCTTTTTCTTGAAGCTCTTAAGCAGGGCAATTGGATGCCCCAGGCTGTGCTGGATGCTTGCGCTGACGAACTTCTGCCCCAACGCGCCGCAGAAAGCTGAGAGCGACTGCGGGGAGGCGGGCGAGTCAAGGGAGGGACGATTCCATTCGTGCGGAGTGGGTCTCCCGGCATGTGGCCCTTTGACGTGTTCATGGCGCTCTGTAAGCACAGAATCCCAAAATGAGACCCGATGCTGAAGATGCAGCTTGTGGGAAACCGATACCGACTCACTGTGTACACTTGGTGTCTGTCGGGTTCATGTTTCTTTTCTAAAAACCGCAAACACAAATCATGCCCTGTTGCCAATTGTTGCTTACAACCGATTCTCACGGCGAATGCGTTTTACATCAATTCTGCCTGAGATCCAGCCGAAGATGTCTTTTGTATATGTGCAGACCCTGCTTGTTGCTCGCGTAATCTCGCACTACGCGCCCGATCTAGAATTTGGTGTTGGTCACAAAACCGAGCAGATTTGGATAGATCCAATTGCCAGTTTCCCGACAGAACCATTTGGAATACAAACACTTGGATTTCAAGTACTTGTGTATCAGACCCTTGAGCCTTAATGTACTCGGCAGCTCTTGCCTGGCAGTAGAACGTTCTAGACAGTTGTCTGGCCCAGCCCGTTCCGGTTATTCCCGGCACAGAAAATACGGAGCATGTGCCGCACAACACTGAACATCAGCACGACTTAATCAAATGATGCTGAAGCTTTTTGCGAGGTATGAATATCCCATAGGGAAATCCGCGTTGCATAGCCAGTGCCCAATTTTCCTTGAGGTCAAGTCCACCAAGCAGAAGGCCCCCGAAAGCCGGACAACAAATTTCAATCCGAATAGGAGAGGCCCGCAGCCGGAGAAATCTCCAATGCCAACCTGACATTATGCTGGGGATGAAATATGCGGAAGGCGACATCCTCAGCCCTGCTGAAGGCCCTCTGAAATTACTTGAACCAAAGTGATGATGCGCTACGCGCCTACCTGTGCGGAACCACCAGCCAAAAGATAAGCCAAAGCTGTCAAACACAAGCTGAATCAGACAAAGATGAGCAGGCAGCATGTCGGACCAACTTGGATGATGGCGCGGATTCAAAACCTGGCCTGCTGATACTACCAATCCGTTCGCTCACTGGACAAATGCATGTCTGGACAAATGCAGTTTTCTTTTTTGGTTTTTCGCAAGGCCGAAAGCCTTCAGCTTTGACAAGGATTCTGGAGGGAACATCCAGCCAAAACTTGACTAGCATTCATCGGATTTTTTCATTCTGCCTTGGCAAAAGCCGGTTTTCACCAGCTCGCAGCGAAACTTTTGACGCGACCAACGATCGTTGGCTCCAAGTGAAGGTTGCAGGACTTCCGTGGAACAACCCATCAATTTGGCGGGTGCTGCTGGAAGTGTTAGCTGGTTTGTTGCTATTGTTGCTACTGTACCTGCAACTCTTAACTAACGTTGCTCTTTTGAATCTGCA